CAGGGAGCAGGATGCTGTTCCCTCCCAGAGGAGCAGAGCAGCTGCTTGGAAGCAAATTGCTTTGCTCTTCCTTTCACCAAAGGAAATGCCAGAGAAGCAAACTCTGCTGCCAGATGCCACATGGACACCAAATGTTCCCCACTGGCTCACACCAGCCCGCGCTGCTGAGGCTCCAAGGGGATGGCTCGACCACTCGCTTTCATCCCTCCTGCCTTGAGCTGCTTCAGCTGTTGCAGACCCATCTGTCCCACAAGCCACTGGCCATGCTGGGCAGCTTACAGCCTTCAAACACAAGGACAGGTGCTGGGGGGGGCCCTTTGGCCACCCCTGAGCAACAGCCCTTTTTCAACCCCCGCTCCCGTCGGCCCTTTCCCCAGCCTCCTGGATAGCTCTTTTGTTTGGGACCATTGGTTTGCAGCTTCCCAAGAACTGAAATCCTTGGCAAAAAGGCATAGCTTTGTGATTTCACTCCAAATAAAAACAACTTCCCCAGCCTTCTAAAGGACTACGAAGGGAGATGGGGTGAGAGCTGTTTGTATCCTTGGTTGGTTTTGAAGGTTACAGCCAATGCTTTGGTTGACCCAGCCCTTTACTCGTGTAGCTTCTTTGCACTTGGAGTACACTGCTTCCCAGAGTAGCCATCCACAGGAGGGTGGTGAAGAACAGAGGTGGGAGATGAGAGACAACGATGATCCACTGTCCCTGCTTGGAAAGACCTCGATAAACCAACCAGCCACACCATAGACCTCCTAAAGAGATGCTTATCCCCACGTGCCTGCAAGGAACAACGTGATTAACTCTTGCACTGATTCATTCTTATCCATTTATCTAATACAAACCATTTCTTACTGCATTAGACGCTTGCCCTCACTGAGTAATCCCTGGTTGTATCATGCTTTGGAATTAGTCTGTAAGGTCCTCAGGGCAGGGATCATGCCTTGGAAGGTGCCTCACAGACTTTAGGCCATTGCTAAATTAATAAGAATGTAATAAAAGAATTAGAGAGCTCTACTGAGGGAGGCATTGTTATGCCCCAGAGGCAGCATATCTGGTTAACAACCCTGAAAAGAAATGCCAACAACATTAGCCTCTGCCCCTACATCCCTCTGCCTAATGTAAAATTAAATAGCTACAAATTACCTATCTATTTTTCTATCTTCCTAGGCAATTAGCCCATGCTCATTACTGGACATATGGGGATACCTCCAAGCATGCAGCATGGAGACAGGAGACACAACATGGCATGAGTGGATTCTCCCAGGCCTGTACTCCATTGTAAAATACATCATTAAAGCCACAACACACTGGACTGTCAGTGGAAGTCAGAAAAACCTTGCCAGAACCCAGTAAGAGAAGCGTCCAAAGAGTAAACCAAGAGCCAACAGTGGCAAACAGGCTGTGAAAGTGCTATCATGAGTAAGTGCAGGACAGAGACGACAGCCAGGGATGTTTATTCATATGGGAAAGACAAACACTAAACCATAAGCAAATGCAGCTCAGCGCATTTATTTGCAATTAAAGCTCATGCATACATTTCCATGAATATGAGGTGCACCCGAATGATTAGCAAGCCTGCTCCCAATGGTGCATTGTCAAGACTAAATCCACAGCATTGCAGCAATGGGAGATCTGAGCATTAAGTCAAATATCCTGGAAGAAAATTCACCCTGAGGTTCTCTGGTCAGCAACAGTGAATAGGACACCCCTTATGCTCCACCATAGCCATGGGCCAATTGAGGCATCACGGCATCAACCCACACACACTCTATTAAGAGAAGAATGCTGTCTCAAATGAGCTTTAATCCAGTTAAGTTCAAGCCCTCCATTTTTGCAGTTTGACAGTAATGCTATATTTTTATTCAGTGCAAGATCAGAGGTCTGATGAAACCTCATGTTGCCAACATAAAAGTGGAAGGAGCTTTAGCTAATCCCAAGGAAAATGAAGCCCACCTCTTTCTCCCCACACCCCTCCTGAAAAGAAAGAAAATGCAAACCCCACATTTGACTCTCTTGGAAAAGAAAAATCCCTGCTGTCCTCAGATGGTTAAAACATGCAGCTTTAGTGGGCTGCATAAGGAATAGCAATTACATGCCCTTCACCTCTTGCCAGCTTGGGGGCTTTTTGGTGGGGTTTTGTTCTAAATCTTCGGGTTGGTTTTGGTTGGGTTTTCTTTTTCCAATCATTCTTCTGGGGGAAACAATCTCACCCTCCATTAGAATGGGTGGTTTACGGGGGAAGAAAACAGGAGAAGGGAGTTCACAAGCTGCTTCCATGTCATTAAAAAGAGAGGGAAAGAAAAGCCAGGTCTGCAGTGCAGTTAGCCTGGCCATATTAAAGGAGCAGGTGTTGTACAGAGTTAATTTATCTGGGAGGAGACTGAGCAAAACCCAGCAACCCTGCTGAGAAAAAGAGCTTTATAGGCTGACACAAAACCCTTCCCGCTGCAGCATCTCTCTTGCTGTTCTCCCCTCCCTCCTCTTCAGCATCTCCTAATTGCAGGGCTAACGTTCTCTGACAAGTGCCTCAGATGGTCCAGCAACAGCCCTACCACCCACCCTCCCTACCTCACTCCCCATCCCTGTTTGTTACTATCACATTCACAGCACCCATCCCTGCAAAGCCCAGGCTGCTCTTGATTACTCTCTAGCACAACTGCATCTGCTGAGTAACTGCAAAATACTCCCTCCTCTGTGCTCAAGACACAGTTGCTCAGCCATTGTGATACTGCTGCAATGTCTGGCACAAGGAACAGTGCAAACAGGGCTCCAAAGATTCCTCTTTTGAGGTTGCAAACTCAGGACCCACATCAAAGGCAGCTGCTTGTCTGATGTTTGCTTGGAATTATGGAGTCTGAGGAGGGGGGGAGCCTATCTGCCTGCCATGCCATGAATATGTGCATTACTGGCATAGCCTCCAGCCACGCCACAAGCTGCATGTCAATTAGAGTGTGGATCTGGAAAGCAGCAAGCCTAGGCAAGTAAAGATGGGAAAGAAAGTTATTTATTAAAATACCTCTTTATATAAGGTAGAAGAGGATCAATCTGACAAAGTTTTCTTACAGTCAACAGAAGAGGTGCAGGTTCAACAAGCATAAACTTGGCCTTTCTCACTCCCAAATAACATGCCTAGAAGCCAGATCCATGTGATCCTGGGTTTTTACACCAAAATCAATCATTGCCACTGGGGCCACAGCCCCACCCTTGCTGCTGACCCTTATACGAAGGCCAAAACATAAAGCAAACACCTCCAGCAGCTATACTGTGCTTTGAGCTTTCTTTCTTCTATTAGTAGGACTTTCCTCTGGAAACAGAGACCAGCATGGCAGCAGAAAGGAAGCCAGCATCTTCAATAGCTGATTTTGCCTGTAGCATGAAGATGCTCTACAGCTTCTCTACTGCCTGTACCACTGCTAGCACCATAGCAAAGTAAATGCACTGGGAAGAGAGAGGGAACAGGCTCTTGTCCTTGCTGCTCAATAGCTGCAGAAGATGCACACAGGGTTGCTTGTGTAACCTCATATCCACCTCAGCCATACCAACCCACACATGGGTGCAACCACTAGCCATGGGGAGGGTGCACAGGAGGGAATGAACAGGGTATAAATGGTGTTCTCTGTCCATCCTCAACTGCACCCAGCCCTTTGTGCCATAGGAACAAGCAATTTATAACACCCGTTTGGAGAAAGAAACTGCCCAACAGACAAGAATTACCCTGGATTGGATTATTCAGACTGAAATCAGTTTCTTATCAGGAGCAGAAGGTTCCCTTGTGCATCTGGGAGGGAAAGGAAGATTTCAGGATAGCAGCGAGCAGCAAAAAGCATCTAATTCAGAAAGTGCTCAGAGGTTTTATTGCATAAAGTTAAAACAAATGCACTCCTTTAAGACACAGTGAAAAGAAAACAGCATTGGGAAGGAGGAGGAGGGGTTATGGGGAGGGATGGGAGCAGCTGGAATGGAATTCCAGGGGGACAGATAGACAGGCAGTCACAAAGTATGTTAATTATTTAAAAAATAAACTAACACAGAAAAGGACATCCTGGGGAGGAGGGGGAGGTAGAACCTCAGGGTACCCATCAATTATACACAAACCAGCTTGGGGGCACTGCAAATAAGGGTCCTGCGGGCATGCTCATGGAGATGCTGCAAGAAGCTGGCCCCGTCCCACCACTCGTGACATAGCACAGTACCTTTGTGACCCTTCATTACCCCCTGGTTCATTGTGTTTTGCAACTTGGGTTGATATCCACAAGAGGAAACAAATACAAAGCAAAGCTCGGCACTAGTTTGCGTTTCTAATTGCATTGCAACCACATTTTCACGTGGCACCGCAGTGAAATGGCCGGTTTGGGAGCCTCCCTTCATGCTTATGGAGCAGTGACCACAACAAACATTTGAGTGTTAAGCAGAAGACAACTGCATCCAGGTCGCTGTTTCCAGATCAAGGTAAGCAAAACTACAAGGCAGGAGACCCAGGGAATAAATGTCCTTTAACAACCAGCTTTTCTGACCAAAGCTGGGCCCTACATGGAGCAGCAACTCCAGAGATGCAGATCCACAGTTTTCAATAGGATCAGGCCACACACACCACTCCTGGGAACTATACAATATGATTGTCTTGGCTGAACAGCCACCTACGCTGTTGACTTTCAGATCTTTCTTTCCAAGAGCTCCATTGACAGACAAAATCCAAAACAAAGTTTGAGTAGCAACAGTATTTCACCCCGATTTTAATATTTTCTTGCAACTTGAACCTCGAATTGATATCCCAATATCTTTAGTACAGCTCTGGTCCAGACAGTCTGAATGTTAAGCAGGGAAGAACCATCTCAGGTTCAGAAGTGCTAATCCTGTGTCCACATCCATTTCTGTTGTTTCTTGTTATTATGAGAAAATATATTCTCTAGAAACCAAAACCACTAATTTATCTCATACACACCATCAAGTAACCATTAAATAACAGCTTTGGCTTGCAAATGGGTGGCGCTAAATTCAAGTTATGTGTCTACAAGTATGAAGACCTATGACCTGTTACAAAATCTTAACCCATCGAAGTCATCCTAATTCCTCCTACTCCTCTATTCTTGGCTTATACATGAAGTAACACCTATTCTTTGCACTGAGCTCCTCAAAATATACAGAAACATGCAGCTTGCGAGCAAGAAGGGGTGATGTGTGCTTGATAAAAACCACCTCTATAAATGAAACCACAATTTTTGTGATAAATGGGCAAACAGGCAGAAACTGTCTCTGCCATAATGATTTATTTAAAATAAATCAATCCAGCTGTGGTAAAATAACGAGTTCTCTGCAAATACACACACAAATTCTGGCTGTTTCATTATGAGCATATTAAATCTAGTCCCTCAATTCCAGCTCTTGATGATAATTAAATACACAAATGTACTGGAGTGAATTTGCTCCTGGTAATTTGCATGGCAGAAAATCATTATTCCAGCAATTAGATATGGTGCAACTTGCTTCTTTATGTACATCACAGATTTCTTCTGATGCCTTTGCGTCGCCCTCTAAGTAGTTAATGCAGGCCCCTTCCTATTAATAGCATGATACAGTGGGTCCATGGTGGCTTAGCCTCACGTGTTCAGAGCTCTGCTTCATACACGCATTTGGGATAACTTTTGTCCTTGTTGCTAGGGCTGGTGCTGCAAACCTCTTGCTGCCTTTAAATAGGCAGCTCCTTTGCTGAAAGTGGAGTGGTTTCCATTTGTTACTTATTACATTGGTCATTTGTTCAATTGTGTTAGCCTTGTCCAGTGATTAACCAAACAGTGCCAGGGCATCCTTCAGTTCAAGGCAACTAATTAGTCTGTTCCCCTCCTGTTCAGCCTATTTGTCCTGTCACACATGGGGCTGATGCATCTCTGACTCAGAAGAAAAGGTGCAGACCTGCATCCTTTTAGGTGAGACTCCTCATCCCAGGCCAAGCTTTATAGTCTCCAGTTTTAGAAAGTAATCCTCAGTCACCAGCAGAAAAAGGAAGGATCAGGAACAAGAGGAGCATCGGGGGGGGGGGGGGGGAAAGCCACAGAACAGATTTGCTGGGCTGAGTTTTGTACAGCCAGAAAGCCCAGCCTTTTCTTCTCTAACGGCATTTCTCTTCGAACATTGGTCTTAAAAGCCTGTGAGAAAGCCTTCTCTCCCTCTTGAGGCTGCTTCCTGAGCTACAGCTGGTCATGCTAGCAGCCTTCCCTGCATTTCAGCCTTAAACCTGTGCTAAAAGGCAGAAGAAGGTGCCTCCCAGAACCTCCTGATCTCCATAGGGTATCACTGCTGCTCCATGGTTTAAAGATGGGATGCATATATGATAAATTTTAATTAATCAAATCAAGAAGTTTGATACATATTTAAGAATCTATTTGCTGCCAATCCACATATTTATAAATAAAGAAATAGAGGCCAGAGAAACATCAAAGAAGAAACAGACAGCAAGAAATGTGTCTAAGAAATGAGACCATCACCATGGGGAGCTTCTCTCTCCATCCAGACTGCTCCTGGTCCTGCTTCTTCCCAGCCTCAGAGTAGCTTGATGCTGTCACCTCTCTTGCCCACTGCCCTGTGCTGCTCCAGCTCCTCAGCTCTTACTCAAAGCCATTTCTCTCCCCTGAGCAACCTTCTCTTTTTATTTTCCTTCACACTGTGATTTTAACTAACTTTTAGTCTACTTGCACAAAGTAGTGAGATCAAAGATAGCCCAGAAGTGAGTGTGATAGCCTGAGCAAGGAAGAGTCACATTCAATTCTCCTCTCCACCACTGACTTCTCACCTAACCACAGACACACTATTTCACCTCTTTCTGTCCACCACTGCCTTCTTCAAAGTACTGTTCAAAGACATCAAAGGTATATCTTAAAGGCTGGAAACACTTTGAACATGATGATAGTCACTGCCACTTCAAGAAATCTTGTCCGTTACAGCTGGATGTTTACCCTTAGGTGAAACCACAACTCTACCATCAGAGCTGAACATTCTGTCCTTCAGCAGATGGTGGGTTTTACTCTCTCTTTGCAAGGGTCATGGTCAATATTGCAGTCTGACCCAGCTCACATGGCCACATGCTGCGAGATGAACATGATGACGTGCTGCAGTCCTCCTACAACCAGCCCCAAACGTCCCAGAAGGTCAGAACACGAGGGGTGGGATCTGCCCCCCCAATGCCCAACCTCTGGTTGCTGCTGGGGTGTGAAAAGGAAGAGGAAAAATGCAACAAAAGGAAAGAATAAAAAGGCTTCCAGTCCAAAGCACAATTAGGAAGAATGCAATCCTTTTTCTCAGGGTTAGTCTTTTTTCTCCTCTCTTTTTGGCCTGGCTCATGGCTGCCTGCAGCTCCCTTTGCTGGTTGCCTAGCAGGGCTAGCATTCATGGCAATCTGAGGTACACCATGAACGTTCCCTGGAAGCAGCCTGCTATTTCCTACCCAGATGTCTTTTCTTTTGGTCAGTGTCATTGCTGAAAGAGCAACAATAGCACTCTATTTCCGTGGCACTCATCTTCAGATACTCTAGTGATAACCTTGCCTTACCTTCAGCTATGTTGTACCCTAGATGAATATCACATACAAAATAATCCAAAACAAATCAAGGCAGCTAAACGTGTTAATCCTTCCGGTCTGCAAGGCAGAAGGGTTGGTTTACAAAGCACAAACACTCAAGCTACACAGTTCTGCTCAAGTGCCCTGTAACAGTCAAGAACAGCTGAAGCAATTAGCAATGCCCCATCTCCTCCAAAAGGCACAAACTCCAGGGAAGGAATCAATAGGAAAACTTTACAATACAGAGCCCTTAGCTTAAGACACAGTTTAGTGATAAAGCCTTTAAAAGACAAAGGATAAGATGCTAGACATGGACTTAGGAAAGGGCTGAACTCTATCCTTGCATATTTGGCCGTGCCATAGAGTCTTGGTTCCCCCATGTAAAATAATGATTGTTTTCTTCATGAAATCATTTGGAGTCCGCTGACAGAACAGGCTAAAGAACTATACTTATGACTTAGTTATACCATCCTATTATGCAACAGGGTAGTTTTAACACCAAACAGTGTGCCAACAGACGCAGGGTAAATACTCCTGCAGAATTCTAACCACATGCATCTCACGTGAGGGATATGTCTGAAGATGAACCATCTCTTCATTAAGTGTTTGACTGGGATTTGTGACATGTGCCCGTGTTCAGGCAAGAGGCTCAATCTGCCGACTCCTTCAGTCCCACCCCTCTACAAACTGTGCTTTTTACAAACAGGAAAGGGAAAATGTTCTCATACACATTGGCTACATGATGAATGGAGGGTCAGTTTAACCTCTCAAACATACTGTATTTATTCTTGTTAGCAGAATTTGAATGCAGGATTCCAAAACATCACCTGAAAGCTGAAGCCTACCCAGAGCTTTCGAGTTCAGGAATTTCACCTTCACAAATCCATATTTCACCAAAGAAGCTTGTGATTAGTTTATACATTTCATCATCATATAAGCACCTAATACCTCAGCCACATAAAGCACTAAGGACAGGACTCAGAAAGATACTCTAATTATAAAACTGATTTATTGTTTACTCTCACAGGCCCTCCTAGTTGTTGCTTCCACTAAGTCAATGGGAGTTTTGCCATTGTCTTCAATAGGGTGGAGCAGAGCCAGGGACTTTTGTCTGTTAATTCCTTGTGGATCATTTACAGCTTTCCAAGCACCACTGCAAAAATAAACTTCAGATTTTTGAAAAACCACACGCACACACAACAAAACACACAACTGGAGTTAAAATGTGTATAAATACCCAAAGAGAACCGCTGGCATAATATCCCTACAGGATTTCAGAATAGCTTATTATTTACTCATTAAATCAGTAAATGACAGCTCCGTTTTTCAAGAACAGCTGAATGTGCATTTCTCTCATCAGGGGTCAAATGATCCACCATCCCAAATATATAATTTGCTCTTGAGTATAGATCAAGTCTCAGTCTTGGGCTCAGAGCACAGACATGGCTGAAAGTGGCCTTGATAAGAGACAGTGCTCTGGAGGTGCCAAGCAAAGATATCCACACAGGGAAGGGGAATATCTCTTCTAGGTATTTCTGTAGTGCAATCCAGTTGATGAACCTTAGGTGCTCAAGGTCTTGATGAGGGAAAAAGAGCAGGCTACAGGGGACAACCAGCCACATGAAGTCAGATATTCAGGCAGCCAAAAAAGGGAGAAAGGATGAAAACTCACACACCTTCTATTTCTTCCACCTTCAACATGCTTATCCTACCTCAAACAGGACAGTGACAAAACTCAATATTAGGATAGAGCTTGAGCATTTTTGCACCCTATTGTCACATATTTCCAGGCAAAACTCTTCTGAAACTAAATATTTTCCCTGCAAATGCCAGTGAAATGTCACTCTCCTGCAAATTTCCACCACTCAGCTGCTGAAAGAGTCAAAAACTAAAGCCCTGGACTAAACCGGGGCAATGCTCCTGAATGAACCTCCACCATCTTGCTGAAAGGATTCTCATGTCGACCACTTGGGAAAAGCAGGGCTAAGACAAAGGGGAGCTGAAAGCCTGGGGCTTGAATTGAAACTATAAAAGGAACAAAAGTAGCAGCAACAAAACTCTATGGGCTCCTTTGGCACCCAAGGAGGAAGCTTAAAACACAGCCAGTGTCTCTCAGCCTTTCCCCCCCTCCCTCTATCTTCTTCTAAGAAGAAAAAAAGAAAGAAGAAAAGACAGCTCTTAGAAACAATCTCTTTCTGTGTAAGCTGTTGCCAGAGTCGGAGAATAAGCCAGCGTTTCTGTGCCAGCCCATTCACATGGCCAGGTGAAAAGAAACTCATTCCTTTACAGCCTGTGCTGCCCCACACAACATCTGCTGAGAAAGTGGGATGGGAAACACCAAAAAGGGGAGAAGAGAACAGCCGAGGCCTTCAGGTTAGAAGGGCAGGCTGTTCCCACCAGGGAGCCCCTCTTTCACTTGCAGACAACTGCTGCATTTGACATTTCAATGGGAACTGAGGCAGAGCAGGAGGGAGGGCGATGGAGGAGGGGGAGGTGGCAGAGCACACATAAAGGGACCCGAGTGAGAAAAAGCAAAGAGACAAGAATTCTGCATCGCTTTCATTTCTGCTTTCAGGGTTTTTCCCCCATAATATGAGAGTCGGGAGAAAGAGGAGAGTTTCTTTTAAAATGAGAGGGCTGGCGCTGTTAAAAACTTTGAAATGAATCAATTTTATGGGGCTTAGAGGGCAAAACTCATTTTTTTTTGTCAGCCCCCTTTTTTTGTGTTTTCAATGAGAAGGGAAAAGGATTTACATAAAATAAACAACAGGAATGAATAGGAGCAAACCCTGCCATGGGCACCAACAGTGGATGCTTTTAGAAAGTTACACGAATGTTGTTTCAGTGCTCAGCATTGTCTGAAGGTTCAACACAGACACATTCATCCTGGGGAGCAGTTCTGGAATCCCGATCGCTTCATACAAACCCCTCAATGAGAGCTGCATGCTTTTTTAAACCTGCCTTAGAGAAACTTTCATCCAAACACATCGGAGTATTTTGTAAAGGCTTCAAAGCAACCCTGTGCCATAAAAAGGGTATTATCTCCATTTGACAGAACAGGAAACTGAGGCCCAGAGGGAATCACACAGACAGCATCCAGAAATGAATCACTGGCGAAGCCTGGAATAAAACTGGTTCCCTGGAGCACCACACTCATCGGCAGTGGATGTAGAAGTGGCCTTGGCTAAGTGAGAGTCTCTGCTGGGGTTTATGTTAAGCCCAAATATGCAAACCAAAAAAACAAGGCCTAAAACATTCATACCTACAACCGCTAGATAGGGATTCATAGTCACAACAGTCCAGGGAAGCTTGGAGGAACCTTTCAGCATTTGGTGGGACGTGGGAAGATGGTAGAGGAGAGCCCAGAGCAGCTTCCTTGAAGGCAGTGTAGGAAGGTTAGGGGTCTCACTCTTCTGAGGTGCAACTTGGGATCAGCTTCCACAGATCAAATGGGATAAGAGATACTACATCCACAATTACTTCAGGTTTGCTTCTTTCTCAATAAGGATTTCCATGAATTCCCCTAACAGTAAGGGAAGCAAAAAAAGAAGAAACCCAAAAAGCCTGCAAGGTTAACACCACGCTCAACATTCAACACATGCTGTATGAGTCAGTAGTGCTTTGCTATTTGCTTAGGACCAGGGTCGCACACAGGAGAGAGCCTCCAAAAAGCCACAAAGCCCTGAATGTGTGAGCAATAACTCAGAAGTGAGGATTAAGAGGTTAAAATGCTTTGTGTTCAGCTGGAATCGGTCTAGAGAGAGTTCAGCATCACTTCTGCTTTTGTGTGTCAAAAATGGCCAATCTTTGATCCTTCCTTACTGCTGTGACTCAACATTATCCCCTTTGTGCCCCTGCTCCTCACTACGCACATACACACAAATGAGTGAGCTACCAGTTAATAGGCCAGTTTGCACTAGGACAGATTTAAGAATGAAGAAACAAAGCCACAGGTGTTTCCCAGTAATACGCATACATCACCCATCACAAGGACAAATCACAGTCTGCACCTTCCTCCTACCAACACATCCTCATGGCTTTAACCAAGACTCTTCAGGCTTCTAACCTCCACAATCTCCATTTTCACTCTTTTACCAGTCACAGGCATCCACAAGCAGATTTACCTGAATATTCATAATGCCCATCAGAAGGCATGGAGAGAACTTGATCATTTATTTTGGAGTGTTTTGGGGGCTTTGGTGTTTTATTTAAAGTGAAATGTGAACGTCTACAAAAAATTCTGTCACTGGCAACAAGAAAATCTCTACCAACCTTTCTTCACCTTTGGAGATTAAAGCATGAACCCTGTTTTAAAGGGACTTGCATGCAATATGTATTTTCTGTATTTGTCACACCCTCAGCAAGTCCAGCACCATGGCATTGCAGGTATCAGAGTCCTGTGCAATCCTAAAACCTCTCTACCATGCTGGGAGGAAATGGCAAATGCTTTCCATTCCATCTTTTCCTTTCCTCACACTCCCAGCAAGCGCAAAGGAAGTTTTCCTGTGCTAGAAAGGAGCCTAGGGCACTCTTCAAAACTGCAGGAATGCTTCAGCCCCTCTTCTGAAAAATCCCAATTTTATACTGGAAGAACATTTAAGAGTATTTTCCCAGCACCAAAATAAGGAACATTCCCAAGGATGGGAGTTCTTGCTGCCTGTCCAAACTCGCCACTGAAATCCAGTACATGTGAGCATCCTAAGGGGTGAATCTGGATGAGTGCAGGGCAATCCAGGCTGCTCTCTGCTGTACCACTAACACCCAAAGCAAGGAGCTGTTGGCATCTCTGAACTGTGTGGCTCTATTTTCCATCTGCAAAACAGGAATAAAAAACTACCCAATCTCAACACATTGAAACCCTGTGCAGATGATAAAGCTGCAAAGTGCTAATGAGGTTAAATCCCTTCCTGGTGCCTCACAAGCAGCTGTCAGGGAGAAAACAACAGATAGAGAAGGACTTTATTTTCTAACTACAATAAAGTTGCCCTTCTTATTGCAGTTTTGGCAGCAGTAATATCATTTAGGAGGTTTTCTATATCCCAGTTTATCCCAATCCTTTAATGCCCAGGAGAAGTGACTAACTGAGTGACAACAGAGCAGAGCCACTACAAATCTTGCAGCCTCCATAGTAGGTGATGAGGACAAGTCCATGCACCTTTTCCCATATGGAGCTGAAGCCACATCCCCATGCCCGATCTGAGAGGTTTCACTGTTTCGGCTGCCACGTTTTATAACACATACTCAGAAACCAGATATCTATGGAGTAATGGTGAGTAATGTGCTGGCTGCTATCTGCCTCGTTGAAAGGGTGATAAGAGTCAGTCAGAGATAGTCCTGCTTCCCAAATTAGATAGCTAAACCATCAGGCCCTTGGAAAAATAACACCACAGGCTCCTCCACACCATCACCTTCCTCCTCACAGATAAGTAACTGAGCATTGCTAGCACATTAACTGCAGCATCAGTCCCTGATCTTTAAAAAGTCATGACTCTCAGACAAGATCATGAAATTCATTTATACTTAATTCAATTTTTCTATTAAAAGGCTCATTTGAATGCGCTTTCAGTTTTCTCCTCACTGCTGTGCTAGAAATGAGTTTTTAAATGGAAAACGCAATGAAGAGAGAAGCTGCTTTTCCTACAGCATTTGGACTTCAGAGAAATCTTTCAATCTGCAGGAAAGGTACAACTTTTTCTCAGCCAAGAGATATGGCAACAACACGTCTATCAAAAGCATTCCTCAGGTTAAGGCGTCTTCACTGCGCTTGGTTCAAGCCAAGTTTTTAAGCTCTGGTTCATACGTTATGCCCACAAAAACAACTGCCTCAGAGTCACAGCAGTGTTTTAGCTCAAAGCACTGCTTGATCATGAGTTTGCTCTGCTGCAGCACTTGACCCATGTTTTCACACTGCCAGCTGATTTGGGCCAATAACATCAGGCAGAGGCAGGTACCTAGGTGGGTGATGAGGAAAAGCAATGACATCAGGACCCATCACTGCTATTTGCTTCAGGGACCAGAGCCATGTTTTGGAGATGTTTGGATCCTACTTTAAAACCCTCCCAGTGCCTGTGGTAAGGGTCAGGCAGGGAGCTCAGATGGCTCAGACTGGTTGGCATAGGAAACTGTATGGTGATGAGAAGTCTTGGTTGTGTTCACAGTGCTGTCCCCAGCACTCTTTTATAACAAGCAACTTAAAAATGTCTCAGGTGAGCTTTGAGATGGGGCAGAAAATTTGGTTGGGGAGAAAAAACAAACAATCACTCTACAAACATCTCAGAATGGAAAATCATTAAGAACTTGACACTGAAAAGATTCTGGATTTGGCATTTTGGTGCTCTGTGCTCTTGTTGTCCTTCGTCAGCTTTATCTGCCTTGGGCATGAAATACTGTAGATCCACACCTCCCAAAAGCAATGGAGATGAAAGATATGGGGTTTAGCACTAGCTGAACACCAAGGCGACCACAAAGCTGAGATCAGACTTCAGCCAAACCTTCCTGTGAGCAGTGAACAATTGCACTGCAGTTTTGGTATTTTCAAGTCCCTGGAGCAAGGACCATTTTTGTTCAGCTCTTAACACCAGCTCAGCACCATTTAATTTTCCATCCCAGAAGGAATGCTCTGGTTTGCCAGGTTAACTCTGGGCAGAACCATGTGCTATTTGGATTGAAACCCATGAGCTACAAGAGCTGAATTTGGAGCCTCCTTCACCTACCATTCCCCAGTCGCATTCTGAGAACTCAAGAAGCGGGGTGAATAATCAGAGAACAAGTTTTAAAGAGAAATATAGTGAATGCATCTGTAAGATGTACATGGGTAACCTACCTGCCGGCTGTTACCATTAGCAATTTTTTAAGCTGAATTTAAAGCAGATGAAAGCCCTGAAGGCTAAAGTCTGCTAATTCACCCCCCACCTACCCACCAGCTCCAGAAATAAATCTTGTGGGGTTGGAAATAGCTCCTTCCCCACCTCTAACCACAGGCTTGACAGTCCCAGCCAAGCCTCTCCGTTTCATTAGCTTCTGGATCATTCATACACATACAAATATGCATACATAGGCACACACATACAAAGAGCTGCCCACTTACGAACCTGACAGGTAAAATTACTCCCTCCTTCTACAGCCCTCCTAATTGCCTCCCCTGGGCTCTTGCAAAGTGCAAACGTCACTGGCTAAATATTAAGTTCACGCAGTGTCACCATTATGCCTTTCATTAAAGCAATATCTGTCTCATAGCTCAGTGTATATGTTCCTTCTAATTTCACTGTTAGGACCCACATGTAGCGCGCAACTTTCCAGTCCAACTTTGAATCATTATGCCAATTTCCCTCAGTTATTTAATGATCATTTTCTCAGGAACCACTTGAAAAACGAGGGCGAGGTTTTTGCTAAAGCACATTTTACCCCAGCCTGCATACATGTGCCTTTTCTTGATTTGCTCAGAAACAGTTGGTAATTCAAGATCCCATTCACTCAATATCATTAAAATTGAGACCTATTAGAAGGTTTACAGTATTTACCATCTTAAATCTCCACGCTGGAAGCTTGTCATGGCGTCATAGGCTGAACAGAAGTGAATTTCACAGTGAGTTTTCAGAAGTGAATTTTCCCATCCGAGAAGGGTCATCTCCACAGCTGCTGTTGTTTATGTCTCCTGGAATCCAAATGAAGAAACATGCCACCTGCAAGGAACAGCAATGATTTTAATTGGATTGCATTTACTATCAAGAGATAAATAAGCAACAAAAATAATTAGTGTCAGTAGTCCCTTGTTTGCAAAGTGGGACCTGTAACAATTGCTCCTGAGTTCAGGATGCAAACCAGCCTTTCCCAAATACCTTTTGAACCCCACCTCTGACAGGGCCTTAAAAGTTGAGGAGTCAGCACTGAGACAAAAGAAACTGTAAGAGATGGACTTAATCAGAAAACACTTGAAAACAGACAAAGAGGTAAATCTGGATGCTGGCAGCTATAGGTTACTCAGCAAACAGTAATGCCAAAGTAGGATTTATTGTGTTAATGCACAGAATTCTATAGCCTGATAATTTGTAAAGCAAGTTAATAGAATAACAATTAACAAAATGAACTATCCTCAAACTGTTTGGATTAACGGTAAGCAGTGAGCAACATGGTAGCTGTTTTCTGCTTTTTGAAGGTGCAGATAGAAGAAACAAAGCATGCAAACCCAGCTGCATGAGCCTGGGCTAGTGAGTAGTTCTAACATCCTTGTTCTAATTGCCAGAATGTTCTCAGCAGCTTTGAAAACCAGACCACGGTGTTCATATCCCACCAAGGACTTGGAAACTTGAGACTGGAAAGGGTATGACTGGGAACGTTGGATATAAAACACTGCAATATCACAAAGCACACACTGACTTCGTGATTGATTTCTTTCAACAGTTGAATCTGTTGGTTGCAGATTGAACAGGGAGTCAATAATTCCCATTTCTATTTCCAACACTGTCAATAAGAATATCTGGGAGGATTTCTTCCAGGAAAGATAGTCCTCAGATCCTTTCATGTGGGATATCAATTTGTCAATGTTGGTTTATGACATTGAAGTCTTTGCATAAATAAGACAAAGGCAGGAGCCCCAGGAGCTTAGTGCACAGCCTGGGTGTCAGGACACTGAGCACAGCCATGGGTGACTCAAACAGCCCCCTGTGGCCCAGCTGTTACAGGCCAGACTGCAACACCCTCATTCAGACTATAAACCAGCACTTTAGCCACCGTAACAGATCATTTGGGATACAAGCAAGTCTAATAAGACCAGTTGCTACATCTGTAATAGGTAGCTATGAATTTACACTCCTCCTTCTTTTAAAATGCATGATCCTTACCCAAGAATATGGAAGCACTTTTGTTCCCCCCTGACAAATACCTAAGCCTAGTCAAAGGTGAAGGTATGCATACATTTATTCCAGCTGTGGGCTGTATCTGCAGATGAAATACCATTTTTTCTGGGTCTGACAGAAAAGGATGCTGGAAAAAAATGTGTCAAAGGAAAATAAAACAAACCAGTCAGGCAATAGCTAGAAACTAAAAGCTGTTTCCCACCACAGGTGTCTTATTTCCCCTGAGGGCCACCTCTTGCTGGTTTTCCCCCCTTCCAGATGCTACAACTCAAGAGGCAGTGGGATGGGTTAAGTGACTGGAGCAAGTCATGCTCTCCTTCCTTCCCCCTCCTTCTATTCCTCCTGCTAGCAGAGGCAGGCCAGCCACAAGCCACTTTCAGCTAACACATCTTACTCCTTTACCCAGCCATATAATGATGCTTAAAATACACTCAGAAGATGCTTTTCACTGCACATAATAATGGAAACTTGCAGGACTCTGCTGCAATTAGTAGATTACCACCCTCCACCCACCCACAGAGGGTAATGAATTAAGGAGGTACCCAATATGGAAGAACAAGAAGGGGAGACAGAAGTAAGAATAGGATTTTTAGCCTCAGGTGTTCAGACACTCGAGGGTAAAACCACTTCCTTGCTTTATGGTTCTGGAGGGTTGGAGAAGGTACAATTTGTACAGAGAGAAAAGGAGACACACAGCTAGACCCAACGTGTCCATACTTGTTCCTTTCTTATAAGCACCAGGGGAGCAGAAACCGTTTTGCAAGCTGGTCCCCATCCCCCAGTACGGGTTTTTCCTTCCCTTGTTGTTGCAGTCACACGTTGGCCTTGCTATCATGCAATGCACAGCCCCACCAAACTGAGATGAACTGTTAATGCACCTCCGTGGAGAGGCTTTCTGTAGAAAGGGCTCTGGAGTATGTCCTCTCCTTCTCTAAGGAGAGCTGTTGCACTGATTTGTAAAAGCAGAGGCCCCCAAGAAAACATCTAACTGCTTTTGGTTAGTAATGTGGAAACAGGAGCCTGGCCAGCTCTTACAAAACACACTTTTGACACTGATCTCCCAAACAGGAACAGACTTGTTCTGGCTGCACATACATGTACACACACCCACATACACAGATGTGAGAGGAAAACTTGGATCTTCTGAGCTCCAGCCACCAGCGCTAGCCCAGACTCCACCACCATAACCCACTGCTGCAGCTGGTCGGGGTTCAGCTCTGGCTCATGCTTGGTGTCCAAGGCACCAAAGTGCTGTGAATGACCACAGAGGGGACCCAATCCCATGGGCTGCAGGTGCTGGTAGGACCGGGAAACATAAGGAGGAAGAGATGAGAGTCTCCATCCATCAAATGAGGCAGCCAAATGAATTGCCCTTTTCAAGAGCTGCAAGTGCTCCAAGTGCAAATCTTTCAAAGTTTGTGACGATAAATTTCCCCCCATCCTATTAATAAAACGTAATAGAAATTCTGAGAATCATGGCCTATTATCTAAAGCCTTAAAACAACAGAGAAATCAGAAGAAAGGTGAAATATGGGGCTGGGGGAATCAGTTCAGGGGGTTCCAATGTGCCCGTGTGGCACACAAGCAAAACACAACAGATTTAGTGGTTTCTCAGAAAACCAACACAAGAGTGGCTTATTGCTAAAAAGCTTTCAAATGCACATTTTAAGTTCTTCTCAGGGCACATATGTCAATCGTTTGCACAGTTTAAAAAATCACCATGATTTGCCATGTAAGCCTGCAGAAGAGACGGGTTGGATGTACCCAACTCCTGCCACTCTTACACTACAACTGTCACAAAGTTTGCAGGTTCTACCACCCAAAATCAACAGGACCACTGGCAGGGGGTACAATAAGGATCACAAAGCACACATGGGTCTCTGCCACAATTAAACTAGGCAGGGAACACTATTTTTTAATGTTTTTTTCCCCATAGGAGATGCATAGAAAAATTGAATTTAACTAAAGGCTTAAGAAGGTTTGAGAAAAAAAACCTCACTTTTGCTGCAGTTTTCTTGGGAGAGCAAAATTACAGCCAAGTCCATATTTTATTTCCCTTTTTTTTTTTTTTTTTGCTACTTTTGTAGGAATTCGAAATTTAGGACATGCCAAAAAAAGTTCATGTTTTTAGTCTTTTCCCTTTTCTTCTGATGATGGCATCATTATTCCTTCTTCCCTTACTTTTCTCTCATATCCAAATGTTGAATTCCCCAGAACAGCCTTACTTATACAACCACTAACAAAAAACCCTCCTCTGCTCCCTTCCTTGCATCCAGCCACTAACGCAAAAACTACTTATGACTTAATGATGCTTCTCCATGCTTCATTAGCTTTTATCAGGATGGAAATCAGGATTCATTTAGAGTCCTTCAGACCTGTCACTGGAGATGGGCATGGGGGAACAGGATAAATTTCTGGCTTTCTCAGTGTCATTGGGCTTGTTGCCATTGATTTCAGGGGTGTCAGAAATGTCACCCATGGAGATCTCAGCGATAGGCTGCTGAGTCTGATCCAGCCCCAATTAGCAGCTGCCTGATAATTGTTGACATTGGAGAGCTATGAAGTAAATTGGGGGCCTTGATCCAATGAACCATAAAAATAAATAATAACCATATAACTACATCTGCACTATAAAAATCTCACACTATTGCCAGTAACGATGTCTGCTATTTACATACGCTACCTGGCTGGGGAGGTTTCTGTGCTTAGATACATAACAGAATCTGCCTTAACCATCTTTATGGGAAGGTGAAGGGTTGAGCAGGCAGTGAACCAGCACTATTATCTTGCATTGCCCTTAGTATAACCCAAATCAGGGCTTAAATGTTGTGGGTAGATCACTCATTGTGTCTCTGCCCATGGGGTCTTTCAAAAAGGCAGGTTTCAAGCACTTTTGCAAAGTTCCAGGGGTCAGATTCAAGCCCTCCTCCAGCCCTAAATGAACTATGAAATGTGGTGGCAAATCCAGGGGGTAGCTTCAAATTTGCTTTGAGCACATCTCTGAAGCAAAGCATGACACCACTCAGACTGTTGCTTTGATTTATCTTTCCCATCACCGTTGCTGTTGCTTTAGTGTGCATATTTAAAGAAAGAATGCAGCTGCCAAAACAATTTTCAGATCAGAACCTCCTGGGTTATAATTGCTTTTTCCCATGTGACAACTGACTTGAGACAACCTGGAGTTGTTAAAGTGATCTCACTCTTTACCAAACCCTGGATGTGGCAGATTCTCAGTAAGCCACCAGGCAAAGAACAATTCGGTCATTTAAAGACTTCAGTGCAGTAGATCTGGTCTTCTTTTCCCAGCTCCTCTACAACTCAGTAGGACTGAGACATCAGAAATGCTTTCAGTGGTTTATTTAGGTTCCAGTCCTACACACCTTTGTGCATCAAATTCCCATTGCCTCTGAACTGCAGAGGAAGAGCCTGAAAGTTTTCTTAGTGCTCCTCTAGTTTGTACAAACAGAGTTTCTAATGCTTTCCTACCTGCACCAAATTTAATACAGTGTTTGCAAAGAGCTGCAAGATCCCTGTGCAGAAGATTACAAGAGTATAAAGTTATCATTTCCAAACAGCCTATTGACGTTTCTCCAGAGCAGCCAAATTCATACAATACCAAGTCCTTGCCCATGTTCCACGTAATTAATTCAACACTCAGACAACATTTTATTTAATCAAGACGTATCGTATCGTCCCTTTCAGCTGAATGAAACAGTGAAGTTATAATGAAAACAGGTCGATATATCAAGTACCAGCAAATTTTCCTGTGTTTCTGCTGGTCCCTGAAAGCCAAAAAAGAGCAGATGGTTTCCCTTCTTGATCTTCTT